TATTTGACAGAACATGGTCAATCAAAGTTTTTGTTCTCTCTGTTACTCGAGTAGCATTCTGTAAATTAATAATATTGTTTATAACATATCCATTTAGTGTTATTAGATTCTTGTAAGCTTTCACCTCCTGGTCATTATTCTTTATTAAATCTATGTTCATATCTCCTATGAGGATCGTCTTTTTTTTGTTTTTATTTAAAACTTCGTCTAATTCTGTAAGGAACTCATTTGTGTTTAATGATGGTGGTCTATAAATTGTGATAATTACAAGATCTATGTCCATGAGGTAACAACTTACGAGATTACATATGTTTTCAGGAGTGGATACTTCCTTCAGGTTACTTTTGATTATTTCTTTCACATATATTGAAGCCCCCCCGCCCCTGCCATTGTTTCTACAGGCATGGTAGCCGTGATAACCAGGAATATTAAACAGTTTTGTTTCATTGTCATGAAACCACGTTTCAGTTATTGCTAGAATATCACATTCACTGTCTTTCACATAACAGCAGATGTCGTCAAATTTATTACGTGCACTCTGTGCATTCAAATATACAACATTTAGTTGTCCTCCTTTCTCCGCATATTTGTTAGAAAATTTTTGAGGTCCTCTTCTGTTTCAACTCGTTTTGTTTTGCTGGTTTCATCTTTCTTCAGAAATATTTTGCCTTCAGCACACCATACAAACTTGAAGTTGTTTTCTTGTTTATATTTTCTTGCTAACATGTATAAATATTGGTTATACTTTGTTAGGTCATGGTTAAAATATATAATGTTATTCTTGTCATCTATTTCAAGGCTGGATGTGGTGATTTTTCTCTTATTCTTCGTTTGCATTAATTTTTCTTTATCCCTTTTATTCTCAAAGCATACTTTAATCAGTTGGTTTTCCTTCTCCATTTTCCCTATCCTGAAAACTTCAGTTTCCTTTATGTTTATATTCAGTTTGTTGTAAATGGTATTCATTATTGTGCCCAAATCTTCGTTTGGGTTTTGTTTTGGTATGCCTGTGATGATTACATTATTATCTAATGATTTTTGTTCATTTTTGTTGACTTCTTTATGTAGTTGGTTCTTGATTGTTGCTATTTCCGTTTTTAGGTCATCATTGATTTTTATTTGTTCTTGATATTTTTCCAAAAGATCACATTGTCTTATGTCCATTATATGTAATTTTTCCATCACATCTTTTAGTTTCAGTTCCACAATAAGTTGAAATTGAAACAATGTGAATTCAACAGATAATTTGTTTTAAAAATAGTACAGTTGTATTGTGATGGGAAATATTCCAAAGAGAAATTATTAATAGAACACAAATTGGCAATATTATAAAACTAGTGAATTTATATATTTCAAAAAATAGTACAGTTGTGATGGGGAATATTTGAAAAAGAAATTGTTATCGGCTGAAAAAATGGCAATTTTCTATTTTGATTATAATTTCTCTTTCGAATATATCCCGTCACAACCTCGTCACAACTGTTCTATTTCTGAAAGAAATTTCTTTTGAATTCACATTCCTTCAATTTCAACTGATTGTGACGAAAACACACTGCTGGAGTTATTGAATATTAGATCCGCTAAAACAATTCAGATTCATTATACTGCCATCTGCCATCTGATCTGGATTCACATTCCTTCAATTTTAACTGATCATGCTGGAGATATTATATAGTGTATCCACGAAAACCCTCTTGGAGTTATCATTTTGTCATTTTTTGACCCTATATTAATTTCACTTTTGAATATTCCCTATCACAACTGTACTATGAAAAATATTTCATCTGAATTCACATTCTTCCAATTTCAACTGATTGTGCTGAAACGAGTGCTGAAGTTATTGAAAAGTAGAACCTCAAAAACGCTCTGCCATATTGCCATCACATGTAGATTGGAACATTTTTTCTTCTTCATCTGCAGAATTACCTCTCGGAGTATAGGTACGTTATTCTGGGACACCCTGTATACTCCTTCCCTCCTTTGGTTTTTTAGCTAATTTCTGAAATTTGAAATATCTAATATGCTCACTAGATGGCACCCACTAAACATATTTCAGTATCTGAAACGTTTCAGAAATGTCTTACGGATATCTGAAACCTTTTCACTCAATTCTGTCTGAAGTTTCAGAAACGTTCCAGATTTCAACAACATCGTCCCAGACATGTTCCAAGACAACCGTTATGGGCATGTTCCAACGAAACTGTCTTGAATGCATTTCAAAAAAACTGTCCTCAACACGTTTCATAATGGTCTCCAATTTTGTATAGTTTTATCAACTCTTCAAAGAAAGTGAATAATATGGTGTTGAAATAGAGGTACATAGACAGTAGAAACAGAAAAATTTATTAGGTACTACTCATTCTCATTTTACAAACAGTAGGCAATTACCTATCACACAGATGTGAGAAATACAAAACCCAAATAGTTAAATCAAGTTCACACTAGCCCAACATATCCTAATGAACACTTTCACCTAATATCACTAAAACAAAATGGTGAAAGAATGTACAGCCAACCAATATAATTCGATTGCCTGAAGGCTGGATCTTACCTTTTATGTAAAGACCTTCTCATGATGGTAATCCATGTTGTTCACCAATATCATTCATATTTCCTTCGGATGTGGAATCATTCTTGATAAAATACTTCGTGAATCCTGACGACCCTTTTTGTCTCCTCGAAACTAAGCAACTGGATTTGATGGATTACAAATTAACTATCAGGTTTGACTACCACTGCCAAACACATACATTCAGAAATCAGAAACAGTGACTAGGTATTTTACAAACTCGAAATAGGATGAGTATGAGTTGGCGATTGAGTGACCTTGAGCTCGCTCATCTCACGCTGTCTAAGCTATCATTGTATCTCGTTTCAGTCGTCTCCCTCCGACTTTGTACTGCCTTGTACCCGAGCTTGTACCCGATCCTTCCCCTTTCCGCATTCACACCCGCGTCTTCCATCTATTACAACTTTCCTTGGCGACAAATTAGACATACGAAATACATAACTCGCTCTCATCTATATTTTGTGGCGGGATACCAAAGTTAAGGCAAAAACAATATTGAAAATTTAATAAGCGTTGATGTAAAATATAATAATGAGTACTGTTTAACATTAGTGGCGTGGTATAGTAGTAGCAGCTGTTTTGGGATTTTCTATAGTGATAGTTATTTATTATGATGTAGAATAGGTGTAGGCAACACAACAAAAAACATAAAACATCGGTTGAATGAGCATTAGAACATGCATTCTTACATAAGTGCATTTTTCTTTTGGTTTCGTACAAACGTTCTTGCAGCTAAAACATATTCGAGAAACCTGGATGAAACGTCTGGACTGCGTTTCAAGTAACGTTTCAAACAGTCCACAATAGGGTAGAATTGAAATGTTTCTGGAAGGTGTAATGTTTAGTGGGCACTTTCTCACATTTTAGGATTTTTTTTCATTTGCCGGTTTTCGTGAAAATGACATCAACTTTCGATTTTCAAATGGAACACCCTGTATATTCTATTCCATAATTGGTTAGAGATTATTATGACGAATCCAACAATACTGGGTTTGATTGGGTTATTTTATACGATTACGAAGATCTTCACGGCGCAAAATCTGAATTTCTTTCTCTGTCACATTCCCATTGAGCTTATGAAAACTTCGAACGCGGATATCTTCGTAATCATTTTAAATGACCAAATCGAACCCGGTATTGTTGAATTCGTTATTATAATCTCGAACAGATTATGGAATAAAATACAGGCTGTTCCATTTGAAAATCGGAAGTTTATGTCATTTCCAGGGGAACCGGAAGATAAAAAAAAAATTCCTAAAATGTGCGACAGTGCCCTCTAGTGAGCATATTCGATGTTCATGCGTCAGTGTCACCCGGTATAGTGTCTCACTTCTAATGGAAGCACCCCTGTATTTTTCGTAATTTTTTTTATCACTTGGAGCACACGAAAGGAAATTCCTATAATGTGCATGGACATCGTGCGTACCAAGGAAGGATAGGGAGAGGAGGTAGCAGTTGGATTTTTTTTTAACGTTTTGTGGTTAAGTTCTTGGGAATACTTCCATTGGCAAAGAATTCCAACTGGAATTCGCAGGAGCGGAAGATATACCGAAAATACATACTTCAGTGATATACAATATTCGCCAATAACCATGGAACCACCCACATTTGCGAAAAATAATATTAGGAGGGAAGATGGGTTGAAAATCACTTCAGATTCGAAATGAGGACATCAAATTCATTAACTATGCATATTTTTCCTGAAAATTTTTCAATTCTGAAAAATTGAATTCATATGGTTCGCTAGCTAATATCTCTATAACTATGATAGATAGTGGCAAATCCTACTGATACAATTTTGTAGACGTCTACGTGACTTCAGATTCAAAATTTTAAATGGGATAATCTCTGAACATTTTTGCTTTTCTATGTTCCTCCGCGAGCAATCGCCACATCTTTTTAAGTTTATGGTCACCCTGTATATTTGGGCGGACCAATATTTTTGTGATGATTTAAACAATAATCATTCATATTTTATTAAAAAACGTAATCAAAAAAACTGGCGCAGAGAATATTGAAATAACTGTGTTGGAATCTTTTCCTCGGAAGGAACATAGAAATGCCAACATTACAGGTTGTCCCATTCAAAATTTTGGATCTGATTTCACGTGGCCGAAAACGAAATAATCATTGGGTAACAGTATATCGAAAAACATTGCACCTTCCCCGAAATTACAATTTTCTACAACTCTTGAGTTCCAAGATATTGCCTGTCTTAATCGTCGTGGGACACCCGCTATATGTGGCATGAATTCGACTTGTGTGTACAACCCCATTGCTGCATTCTATGTAGCTCCACAAGTGTCATACTGTGTACCCACTAGTCACTTCATCCTTATTGAGATGGCGTTACTTCCGTCTCACTGATTGATAAAAATATCCCTTATATTTGATTATACAATAATATTAATTTCTACTCATATGTTTTCAGCTGGTGAATGATCATCGTGTGGTCGACTATAACATTAAGCTAGATGATATAATTCAGTTGATGATTACTACACCAAAGACAGACGTTGAGGATGACAAGAAGAAAGTTGACATAAAAATCACCAAACCAAAGAAGGAACAATACAAAGAAGCACAAAGTAAATTCTATAAAGTTGGCGATCTCATTGATGTGCTACTCGTTGACAATGGTGCTTGGTATGAAGCATATGTCCACAAAATTCTCAAAACATCTGATGATGACGAAGTTGATGAAAACGATTTAATTTTCCGTGTGAGGAAGTATGTTCAATTATCTGAAGCTTATTATCATATCTAATACACAAGTATGGGAATATAGGGTGTTTTAAAATTCATTACAAGATTTGTCAATTATTTTGATAGCTGTAGCTTGGATGGAGTTCATTTTAGGATACATCTTTGAAGTCTATGTTGACCTCAGGAGTATGCTTGAAATCGTTGTAGTGAAATTTGAAACACCTTACTTAAGGTGGTATTTACAACAGATAGTTGCTCAATAATTCTATGGTTCTAATGGTTCTATCCGTCATTCATGTCTTCAAGAGACTTGTGCGAGCAAGGAATGACGGGGCCTTACCTTTCAACGTGTGATCTCGATTACTTTGCTGAGCCATCAGAAAAATGTCTGCAGTCGTGGATTTGAAACCACGACCAGCACGCCTAGGTGATTAGAATACTAACGATTTTACCACGCGGCTACCTGGTCTGAAAAATGAAAAACAAATATATTGACATCATGGCTTTTGATACTAGGTTTCCTTTATTATTCCGGAATAGCTAGTGCTGCTGTGTCATATTTATATAGCATATCAACTTTAATTATTATTCAAATGACTCTCTGAGTAATACCTCATTTACTTTATCGTGATTTTTGAAGTACGTTCGATTTGAACTTGAACAACGTACAGAGTAGAGCTCGACATTAATATTTTTCCCGTGTATAATAAACTATTTTTTCCTGAGACAGGCAGAATTACGAATCAATATTGGGAATTGCGAAGACGTATCTCAAAAGTTAGGACGTTTACGATATACGTTCTTATGAAGTTTTATTCTTGAAATGGGTAGAATAATCGGCCCTTTGAATATTAGCATATTATCAAGGAACACCCAGTATATACTTGATGATTCAGGTTTCGAGGTACAAACTGGAATGCATGATAAATCTCATCATTCCAATTGAAAAAGTTTATATTAACATGAGTCCGATCTCGATCATTTATAGTTATTTAACCAACTAGTGTATTAATGAGGGCAATTAATGATCGAGATATGTTAAGGTGCGAGCGAAGCGAGCGCGTTAATGTTCGAGATCATTAATCGCCTTTCAATATACGAGTTGGTTACAAAATTTTTCCGTCGACTATATTTCTCATTTCTCCTGCAATGAAGAAAACTTGGTTCGCAAATTCATCATTCATCCAGAAACTACTAAGAATCACCCAGTAGCCTTGTTACTGACATTAGTGACATTTGACATTTTTCGAAATGATCAACATAGAAAATAAATTTCTTGTGTTAGAAAACAGGGATTAAAATCGTTTCAGAAACTTGGAAAGGCGAACCCGTTAACGGAAAATCTTCGATGAAATCCATATTTTCGATTTAAATGCAGATTCCCTAAGTTATAGCATAAACATAGACAAATTGATCTTTAATAGGGTTCATTAATGAACGATTTCATAAACAGTAAATTTACTCGTTAATACGAGGTCGACGGAAAATTATTTTTTTCTCAGATTCTCAGGGATGCGTATAGAGAAGGCAGGGCATTTAAAAATCGTTTCAAAGTAGTACATACTAATGATTTTTCTTTCGTCGTCTGCTCGAACAGAATATACAGGGTGATAAATGAAATGGGGTGCTGTGTAAGACATAAGCACACAATAGATCGCAAGTAAAAACATTCTGATATTTAAAAAAAAGTACGCTCTCACCATACCACATCTTTTAACTTTTGTTGAACGTCCGCTAACATTCCAAAAGTTGCTGACACTTCCGTTGCTCGTGTTCAGCTGTTAACTTCTAAAAAATAATTGAAATTCCAAACAAACTTTGTGATTCAATATCTTCCAAGACATTTTTTTCCACAAGAATGTAGGTACTTTCAGTTAGTTCTTTCTTTTTATTCGTTTTTATTTACCACTTCTTTTATTGCTCTGATTTCGGAAACACACTGTATTAATATCGTAGCTATTTTACAATGATATGTATTCGAAATTCGTTTCTTCACTCAAACACTTGATGTTGCCCTTGGACAATCTTTTATTTTCAACTGGATTATTCCCAAAATGAATCTTCATGAATCAATTTGAAAAGTGCAGTCTTAAGATGAAATATGATATTCAATCATTACAGAATTGAAATCGATTGATGAATTTGTGTTACTTCATTTTGAATTCGGGATGCACCTTAATATTTTGTTGACTTGTTTATCATTATTCTAGTGCTTCCCATGTAATATCCTTTGAGACAGATGCGAAATTTGATGACATCAGACCAAGATCTAGTTATTGTTATAAAACATCTGAATTAGAAAAAGGAATGATTGTTCTAGCCAATTACAATACTGAGGAGAAGAAGTCACGGGGTCATTGGTATGTACAAATAATTTTCTATTTCGAAACGCATGAATTTGAGTATTTGATGTGTAGGTGGTAGTTCTTGATTCTTCTGTAGTTTTCAATAATGTTTGTGACAAACGTGAAAATATTTTTAAAATCCCGTCAGTTCGTGCCTCAATGACTGATTTTGTACATTTTCATGGCTTTGATATAATCAAATTGGAGCCTGAATAAAATTGTCTACCAGCACAGCACTCAAATCAGATGAACGTTTTGAGAGTCAACTTTGACAATTAGAAACAATTTTTAGTTGTCAATTGATGGTAGTTTATTATGGTCCTCGGTATCTGAAGTAGTATTATAGTATTACCTATGTATTTGAGGTATGATTTCGAAGTGGAAGGAGCAACTAGAACATCTGTAAAAGGCACTCTACTAGTTGGTAGGGATAAGACTCGCCTAGAGAATTGTTCCCTAAAATTCGTCAATGAAATTATGAGGATTGAGAAGCCAAAATTGCTTTCTGACCAGTCCCAGGATGAAATCAGTGTGACTAACAGTAGGTATTGTAATGATTGCCCTTATTAACAAATTTGTAATGTGTGAAATTATGTAACAGGAAAATATCCGGTGAACTGTGAGATATGCAAAGATGTACCAAACAAAAAATGCAAAGAATGTGGATGTCGAGTCTGCCGTGGAAAAGATAGTTGTGATACCATGATATTATGTGACGAATGTGACTATGGGTACCACATTTCCTGTTTGAATCCTCCTCTGGAATCTGTTCCTGATGAAGATGAATGGTGAGATTATTAATACAGATGACAGCTACAGACATTCATCCTGAATGATCAGAATTCTGAATCTTGAACCACCCTGTATCTGTTCCGATTGAATATCAGTAAAAAGTGAATCAAAAGTTGAGATAGGGACATGTGAGCCGTTTTCGTCGGTAATGAATAGTTTCGACACAAAAAATCCTAAAGTTGAAAAATCTCGATTTTGAACACCCTATATCTCTGTAATCATTTTCGATAGACCGCAAGTGTGATATATCGATGAAATCAGCTCTTCAGCGAGTATCTGAAAATGTGATGAAATACAGGGTGTTCCATTTGAAATATCAATGTTGCTACTACTTTCTAGTAGAAGCGGCAACACTGCATTGTCGAAAATATTTGAAATGAAGAGAGCATATTCTAAAATATAAGCATGCACATTTTCATGGATTTCTCCTGACTGATTTTCTACAGTGTGACCCATTTTTAATGGAAACACCCCTGTATCTTACTTAATCGTTGGGTAAGGATCCTGAAATTTGCTGGAGCGAGAGATATACCAAAAATGCACTCTATGACCAAGTGGAGTCATCTTCAGTAATATACACTGCTCGCCAACAGCCATGGAACCACCCCAATTTCTGGAAAATCATATTAGGAGTCAAAATAGGTTGAAAATTACTTCGGATTCGGAATCAGGACGCCCAATACACTAACTATTCATATTTTTCCTGGAAAATTTCCGGTTCTGAAAAATTGAATTTCGTCACACTTTTTACGGAAGCACCCCCGTATCTTACGTAATTATTGAGGTAGGGTTCTGAAATTTTCAGGAGGAGGGGAAACTCCAAAGATAAAGTCAATTACGTAAGATACGGGGGTGCTTACGTAAAAAGTGCAACAAAATTCAATTTTTCAGAACTGAAAATTTTCCAGGGAAAATATGAATAGTTAGTGAATTGGGCGTCCTGATTCCGAATCCGAAGTAATTTTCAACCTATTTTGACTCCTAATATGATTTTCCAGAAATTGGGGTGGTTCCATGGCTGTTGGCGAGCAGTGTATATTACTGAAGATGACTTCACTTGGTCATAGAGTGCATTTTTGGTATATCTCTCGCTCCAGCAAATTTCAGGATCCTTACCCAACGATTAAGTAAGATACAGCGGTGTTTCCATTAAAAATGGGTCACACTGTATATAAAGATAGTGTAAGATCGTGGTGATATACCCTGTATAGGCACGTTGATGTGCACGCAAAATTTATCATCCGTGCACGTACATACATGACGTCACAACACACGATATTCGCTAGATGCAATGGGGGGGGGGCTTCACTCCAAGTTGGCAACCTGAAAACCTTTACCAATGTAAAAGCAACATTATGGAAGTTGTATTATTCTAATAGCTTTATTTTGATGAAATCTGATTGTAGGAGTCTACTCAAGTTATTCAGAAGAAAAATTAATTTTTTGTAAACTCCAGTTCTGATTAGTTGAAAATTATGTTGATGCACCTCCTTTAATTCTGAAAAATGTCATATCGTCGTCAGATTTATTTTATTTATGGACAACACTATTATTCATCATTCCTTGGTAATGAAGTTTGATCTTTGCAGTAGGAAGTAGGAGTATATTTCATTTGACTGCTGAAAATCGATCCAGACATGGACATGGTAAGAATGAAATAATGAAGTTTCAACCTTTTCCTGAAATGAAAAATCACCCAAGGCAGTGTCTTTCAGTGGATAAAACCATGTGTGGAAACGAAGAAATCACAGCCGATATCATAAATAACAAATAACATACCTATGTGATAATGAGCATTTGCCTAGTAAAAAATAACAATAGGGAAAATAAATCATTCAGTAAATACTTTCGAAGCTTACACGGCTCACCAGGATATAAACTTTACTCAAAACTCAAAGTTTCCTATGATACGATACATATCACAAATGTCGGAATACAACAATATCAAAATGGCATACTTTTTTTTTAATTGACTCAGCCGTTACTTGATGGAAATCCATGGCAAATGTTTGCATTTACAAAATAACATACCTTTTTTCAAATAATTAGGCACAGATAGTTTAAGGGTAGCTGAAATCACAAGACTATTCGAACATCACAATATATAACACAAGATATTAGGGGTAGTGAGGAAATATAAATGAACAACAATAAATATAAAGACCTAATAACACTGTTATGTTGATTACCATCACGACGAGTCGAGAGTATCCCCAGACCAGATAACTTTGGAATCCTCACATCCAGTTTATTATATATTTGCACGTTTCTCATGAGAGTTTCTTGATCATTATTCGAAGTTCGAACGTGATTTGAACCTACTGATTTAGTGATTCATTGATATACTATTTTCTACTCGTGACACAACTGACGCTACTGAAAGTATTGACATTTCAGTATTGACGTACCGCAGATGCACTTAAATAATTTTCAACCAGATGTGATGCTTCTACAATGGTAGGGATTTTCAGGTTGGCAATTTGAAGTGAAGTCCCTCATTCTCTCTTCATAGGTAAATATTCAAGTAAGCGTTTCAAATACGTACTGTGTATCGGACAGGCAATCCGGTGACCCGGGATCAAGCCTCGGCATGGTCAACTTTATTTTTAAATTCTCAATTTGTTTTCTCAAGTAATTTTCCGAAAAATATACTTCTTAGAAAAAAAAAGTCTTTTGGAACGACTCAGGTTACAACTTTTGGGGAAAGTTGTTTCCTTTTTTATAATAATAATAAAGTTTATTCAAAATGTTTACATAATATAAATTAAAAGTATACATATTGGTATTGAATAAACCAAGAAAACCTCAGGAAGTATAACTTGTTGTTAGATAGGTAAATAAGATGAAAATTATGTTCACTAAATCAATTGATCAATTCGAGACAGAAGTCATTGATGAATAAAAATGTATTTCTTGTTTTTCATTCAGTCAGTGAATATAAATATAATTTAGTACTGTTCCAAATTTCGTAGCAGAAATAAAAATAGATATCAAATATTGATTAAAGAAACAAATGAACTTCTTAAAGAGACTAATTTCCAGTTTTTTAATCTAGTTTTGTAGCAATAAAATGATTTGACTTTTTTCATATGACGCGTAATTTTATCATACAAATAAGGAAACAAATATTCATAGTTTCTTTGTCCAATTGTTTTATTATGGTTATGCAGAAAGGATATTTTCCTTCCTCATATTCGGTATTTGTATGTGCATGCGTCAAAAGAGAAAAAAAAAAAGTGCCCTTGTCTATCATGTACTGAAATTACATCCAGAATTTTGTTCCATATCAAAAAATATATCATATTGAATTGATTGAAATACCTAATACATATCATGTACATGTCTTCAAGAAATAAATTACATGAACATCAACGTGTCTCGAGCTTACTTACTAAAAAATATAATTTTCAAACAGCATACTATTTTTTTCCAGGTATTGTCCAGAATGCAAAACTGACGATTCGGAAATAGTAAAAGCCGGTGAAAAATTGAAGGAGAGTAAGAAAAAAGCCAAAATGGCTAGCAGTAAAGGTGAATGCAGCAGAGATTGGGGTAATGGAATGGCTTGTGTTGGACGTACTAAAGTTTGTACCATTGTATTGAAAAATCACTATGGTCCTATACCTGGCGTAGATGTTGGAACTTGTTGGGCTTTCAGGATGCAGGTAATTGTTTCAGACTCATTGGTGAAATTTCGACATTCAAATTCAACTTTTTGTCTTTCATAATTTTATTACTGAATCTTGAACTATCTTCATCTCTCTCAGCTATTAGTTTTTCGATTGCAACCAAATTTGGACTGGTAATTAGAAACCATCAAAATGATTCAGAGACGAAAAATTATTTTTCTAATTTTGACATGTAATGTGACACTTCAAAACTGACGGAAGTTTCGAAACGTCCTACTTTACGTAACTATATATATATATAGTTTAAGAGAAGGGTAGTATATGACCGAGTATATGACTGACTAGTTGAGGTAAAATACTAGTGATTCAGAAACAAACACTGTGGTTCAATTCTTCATAGGGTTGCAGTCAAAATTTTAGACATCAAATAAGTGAACTCTTCGTTATTTAGCCGAGCTTTCGGAAATGTTTATTTCCTTTTTCAAGACATCTATAAGAAAAATGGTATGCATAAAAAACAACATCAAACTCATATGAAACTAAGTACTTACTAACATGAGATTGGTTCAAAGTTGGAACAGTTGAAGAACAGACGATTCCAAACCTTCGACTATGTCAGTCACAATTTGCAGTAGAGCATTGATAGTTGAAAAGTTCTGCCTGAAGCCATATTGCGTGGAACATAATATTTGAAAATCTTCTCTAAGTATTGTGCCTATTTTTCAATATTTTTTCTAGTATTTTAGAGAAAATTGGCATAATAGAGATTGGTCTATAATTGCTTACTAGGTTAGGATCACCTTTTTTATATATGGGTATGACTCTGGATATTTTGAAAATATCTGGAAAACCACCTGTTGAGAAGCAAAGGTTTATTAGTTGAGTTAAGGGCAATATGATAATGTCCAGAGTTTCCTTAATTATTTTGATATTTAACTCGAATACATCCACACAGGAAGAGTTTTTCAGAGACAGAACTGTTTCTGCTACCTCTTCGATGGTAACAGGGTTTAGAAAGAAAGAACCAGGTGGTACAGGAATATTCTTCAGATAATTCTGACTATTGTGATCAATACTTGGCAGAGCACTAATTGTATCTTCGGCAATAGAAGAAAAATAATCATTAAACACGTCCTGTGATAGACAATCAGGAATGGGTTTTCGGTTGTTATTTTTGTTCCTCTCAAAATTAATCAACCTTCAACTGTCCCTACTCTTATTTTCTGAATTTGCGAGAAATTTGCTGTATGCGTTCTTTTTGGCATTTTTGAGTGCGTGTTTATACTCTCTACGTGTGACGTTCATACTCTCTACGTGTGACGTTGTAAGCATTTAGCGCATCACAATCTCCACTTGCAGTATGAATGATTTTCAGAGAGGATAAAGTATTTTTTATATTTTCTAACCGTTTATCATACCATTTTACGGGAGGCTTTTGTTTTATATCCATGACTTTTTTTGACTGAAAACATCTACTGCAACTCTGCAAGTCTATTTGGATTTGCGGAGGTATCACTGAAAATAGTCTAGTCGATATTTGACAGTGCTGCTCGTAGCTTAGTCATACCTGCTGTAGTTAAAAATCTCCTGACAATATTTTTATCCAATAATTGCCGTTTGGTTAGTACTTCATAGTATTGGCCAGCGTGGTCTGACAGTAAAGGATCTAGAACACCAGAGGTATAGAGATCGTCATCATAGTTTGTTAAAATGTTGTCAAGACAGTTTTGTAATCTTGTAGGTTCCATTATTGTGATACTAATCCCAAATGAGGTTACAAGACTAATGAATTCTGCAAGTTTGGGAGTATTTTGAAGAAAATTTATGTTGAAGTCTCCGGCTACAATGATTTTTTTGCCTCGTTTGAAACAAAAACTTAGACGATTTTCCAGAGATTCTATAAAGAGCTCAAAATCCCCATTTGAACTAGATCGATATAGGGTAATAATGATTGACTCTTCAGTTTCCAATCCACAAAATTCTGCATGCATTCCAATGCAGAACTTTGGACAAATCAAGAGGCTTACATAATAAGTAATGCTTACCGAAAATTGCAACACCTCCGTGAACATGGGTCCTTCTACAGAAGTGGGATATGAGGGAGTAACCTTCTAAATTTATTAATTTAATATTGTCTGCATTCAGCCAATGCTCTGACAGGCAGATTACGTCATATTTATTTTCTTTTGTGAAAGCTGTAAGTTCGTTTACTTTACTGGACATACCTTGAATATTAATGTGAAACATTGAAAACCTGTCCATTACATCCTGGATTTTACATTTTTCTAGAGTTTTGGTGGTATCAACAATATTGTCACGCGTTTTTGAAGGGGGCTTCTCTTGTGAAAAAACTTGTTTACCCCCACGTCTCATGTGGCCAAACAGATACATCCATAGCTTTGGTGAGATCTGATTCATCAATCGAAACTTTGAATGATGAGTATAGAAGTGGATACATAGATTTCAATTGTTCGCATATTACTTCAGGAAAAAGTGGCAGCAACATGGACTGGAGATCGTCTGCAGTTGTATCCGGGTGTAATTTAAATGCATGAAGAAAAGCTCGTTTTGGTGCTGCCTTGATGGACGTAACGGCGGATGCTCCAATAACTAGGGGTTTACTAGATTTGCGTTTCTTCTTATTAACCACTTGTGTGAATTTTTCTTCCTCGTTGTCCACACTATTTGAGATTATTTCGCTGCATTTAGTTTTTGTAGATGCTTCTAGCAACACAGCCGAAACTTCATTTTTTGTGAATATCTTAGGACTATTCGACCCAGTTTTTCTGTCTCTCGAGGTATGCCTCTTTTTTGTCTGAACTCCAGTAGACGAGTTCACAAAAACTGATGAATCATTACTTGGTTTAGACACAGTCTTGCTACTACCTGAATTTGTGTGAGCAGCGACCTGTGAAGGTTTTCTACTATCTTGTGATCTTTGTGATTTGGCATGCGAATTAGAATTCTGATTATCCGCTAAGCTATTATCTGCTTCTTCTTTACCATTGTTTGCAGATGGAGATCAGTCCTTATTAAGTTTAAGTTTACCATTAGGTGGCTCTGGATGGTTTATATCGTCGGCTTTGTCATTCACAATGTTTAATAATTTGATTTGAGCTTGTAAAGATTCAATAGTTATTTTTTGATATATCACTAGTTCATTTTGTTGTTTGATGAACTGTTTTAAATATATTATTTCTACCTTTGATGCATCCTTAGGATCTGTTGCGTCGATAGCATCCTCAAAGGAGAGCTCAAGTTCATCTTCCTCTGTATGATCAGGTGCGCTTGTTTTATTTTCACAGCAGATAATGGTATTATCGTCAATAATTTTAACATTTTTTATATTTGGTGCTCATTTTTTGTGGGACACTGTATCACAATTCACACATTTTGGACCTGACTTTGCACTCTGGCCACATCGTTTACATAAATTTACTGCACCGTCACTAGACTTGTGTTTACTCTCTGGCGCCATCTTGAATTAAGCAACAATTCTGAATGGGTTCCATTACTCATAAAAGGTTGACTATGTACTCCATTAGGTTTCAGAAGTAGGTATCCACAGACCTCACGTGGCTGGTATCCATGGCAGAGAAAAAGATGGCGCTTACAGTATCGTCCTGAGTGGTGGCTATGAGGACGATATCGATGAAGGTGAAGAGTTCCTCTACACTGGCTCCGGCGGTCGCGATTTGTCTGGAAACAAAAGATGCGGTCATCAAAGTAGCAATCAGAAATTAACCAGAATGAATAAGTGAGTAGATTCCGCTTTTCTGATACTCTGGCTTATTCACAAAAGATATTACTTTTTTTATACAATAGATTTGAAAAATGTTTGTGCATTCTTTGTACTACAAAATATTCAAATATACTACTTTTCTGGGTAATGCCAATTTCTTTATCTATCAGAATTCATGATATACATATGTACCGGGTGTACCATAAAGAAAGGACGCCAGCTGTATCTCGGAAACTATTTGCCGCACAGGTTTCGGAAAGAAATATTCATGATGAAAGTGGCCAAGAAAACTCTCTGGAAACGGGTTTTTATGAAAATTTTATATATCAAGACATATCAGAAACACTTATTCCATGTTCTCGAGTTGATTTCCAATCATTTTGATAAAAAAAATGCGCTAGCTCTTTAAATAGAAGAGGGAGGGAAGGATGAATAGTACTCTGGAAAAACTCTTATTACTACAGTTTGGTGTAATGGAATTAAGCGATTTTGGTCTCATTATGAAGGGTTTTATCAGATCTTCCCGAAAAATCAGCCGATTCGCCATTTTTTTTTTTTCGAGAATTTCAAATGGAACCATATATTTTTCCTGCTATGATATGAAAGTTGAGTAAACGAGAAGAAAAATGGTGAAAACCGCGAGTTGATACCTCTTGAAGAACCGGAGATAATATTAAAATTTAAACTGTTAGCATGTCAAATGCCTCCTCATTCGTTATCGGCATTTTGACAAATGAGCAATCCACAATGAACAGTGAAAACTTCCAATGGAACTCCAATTATATTTTGACGTTTCTTTCATTCAAATTAGCTATGTCATTACTAAGAGTCTCCTTCACTATTGTGAGATATAACAGCAGTTTGTGAAACCAAAATAAATGAATAATTAAAATCATAATTTCATATATACAGGATATTTCTGATTACGATAATTGAAGTTAGCTTCCTGGTGAATATTTTCATAATATTATTTCGAGTATTTCACCGGTTCCTCAAGAGGTATCAATACGCGGTTTTCACCATTTTCCTCCTCGTTTGCTCTACTTCCATATTAGAGTAGAATAAATATATGGTTCCATTTGAAATTTTCGAAAAAAATGGAAAATTGTCTTATTTTTTCTAACGATGCCATCTAGCGGCCACCACAGAATTTAAATGAGACCAAGATCGTTGAATTCCGTTACACCAAACTGTAGTAATGAGAGTTTTTTCAAAGTACTTTTCATCCTTCCCTCCCTCTTTTATTTAAAGAGCTAGCGCAATTTTTTTTTGATCGAAATGATTGGAAATCAACTCAGAACATGAAAAAGTGTTCTTGATATGTCTTGATATATCAAATTTACATGAAAACCCGTTTATTAAACTGGCCAATGCAATTACGCCCTCTAGGGGCTGTCCTGGAAACTTGAAAATAATTTCCAGAGATTTTTCTTGGCCACTTTTATCATAAATATTTTTTTCTGAAACCTGTACGGCAAATAGTTTCCGAAATACAGCCGGCGTCCTTTCTTAGTGGTACACCCGGTACATATATGAAAATCTTCAATTTTCACATGGAAAAGTAAGCACGAACAAATATCCACTTTTTGTTCAGATTTCTTTGGAAGTTAATTCTAGCTATGTTTTTTTTTTAATTGAATTGACTGCCGTTACTTGATGGAAATCCATAGCAAATGTAAAAACTTCACAAACGATAAGATTTCCACAAAATTCTCAAACACACGACATGTTTCGCTAACACAGTAGCTTCGTCAGGTGATATACTGGTACGATGAACTAAACTAACATTGGCTTGCCTATATATTCTACTAATCAGCTTCAAGTTATTTGGTAGTGAATTGTATTGTATCGTATCATTCCATTGTGATATATGAATTTTTGAGTTGATGTTGATTCAATGGTAATTTGATGATAAGTTGATGTTAGCTTAATGTTAAGTAAATGTTGTTGATTTGATATTGAAGTTGAATGAAATCATAATAATTATAATGATATCATCTTCATGTGATTAGGAACATGATACCTACTGAGGTCTCATGAAAACTTATGATGCATATAATTTGAATATTTGTGTTCCTAGGAGAAATAGTTATTTCATTACGACAGTGCTTGTCGTGTATCATTGGTATGTGTCGTACGTAACACGAATCAAAAGTGATTTTACGGGACTTAACGGGATTCCAGGCAAAATATCACTTTCGGAACTTACGTAAGTTACTACTTTCTCCAAATGGCATAGAAAGTGGCTCTTCTCTTTCACTTAACAGGCAGGAAAGGTGTACTTTCTCTGCCTAAGCAGGAAAAGTTTGTTGTTGCTATGCAACGTTCTAAGTAATTTGAATGACATTGGTAATCAAAATTGACAATGACATTGGGTGAACACAATAAAAAAATTACACAAAATTGGTTTCATAAAATTTGGAGAAAAGAATTATGTTTCACACGACACGAATCGAGATTGACTGCTTTTGCTGAATTCCTACCCTTGCTACGCTCTACTATGAACTATCAGTTGCGGCAGTCCATCTACTACTTTCCTGCTTAGTAAAACAAATAAGTATTAACATGCAGGAAATAATTTTCTATCAGACCAGCGGTCGGCAACCCACAGCCCTTGGGCCACATGTGGCCCGCGGTCCGTGACTGTTTTATAAAATATAATAGTTATATATACACCAAGATGTATATTGAATGTTTTTCACCACTAGCAATACATTTCAATTAAAATCTAGTAGCCATGACCATGACAGCATAATAATAATATATAATAATAATATAAGTCGTTATCGATAAGTACCTACTAGATTCGGCCTGTTGTCATTCCTGCGAATGTCGCATAGGAACAGTGAATTTAGGTTAATTTGTTGACTACTGGTTCATAAAATGACAAAAACTACCTTGGTAGTAAAAACAGAAAATGAGTAAATAATGGTATGTTTTATAGCTAGTGGTGGAAAATGGTATATTACACACCGAGGTGAGAAGTGGTTTATTCCTGTCGTGAGATTGGTTAGTTAACCGAGACGCAAAGCGTCGAGGATAGCTATAATCTTGTGACAGGAATGAAACTCCCTACCGAGGTTTGTATACTATTTTATTTACATCCATCATATTTCAATCAAAATTAATAAATCTAGTAGTGAAGGGCGGGAAGTAGAGGTGTGTAATGTGACACTTCCCAACCTTCAATGACGTTAGTAATGACAACATTACATATATGATTGTAAATAAAAGTCTTTACCTACCTAAGTACATAAATAAGTACCGGCCCAGATCGAAAAAAAAAATTTGCAAATATTAGTTTATCTGCCAAAACGTGTACCCGTTGCACTGAAGATTTGGCTGATAATTTATGCCAGCAACTTCGGGAAAAAGCACAATTATTTGAATGGTTCTCAATAGCTACCGATGAAAGTACTGACGTTTTAGATACTGCCCAGCTTATTATAGTTGTTCGTGGAATCGATGACAAATTCAGTGTATGTGAGGAACTTTTACAGTTATGTAGTTTGAAAGGAGCAACTACAGGGGAAGGCCTATTTTGTCAATTAGAACAAGCGTTTGTATCAATGCAATTACCATCGAAAAAATTGGTGTGTAACAACTGACGGAGGCATAGAAACATGAGTTGACAAAACAAGGGCCTGGTGGGCAGAATAAAAACTAAAATGTCAGAGATCGAATATGATATCCCATTATTTTTTCATTGCATTATCCACTAGGAAACTTCAAGTTGCAAAGTTCTAGCATGGCATGAAATATTGATCGTCGTGAGTTGAAAAGATTTGCTCTGCAATTAATTACAATTTTTGGTAGTACTTACTCATGCGAACAAACCTTATCGATTCTTAATTACAGAAAAAATGAATATGCTTCTCGTCTCACAGATGAACATTTGAGAGCTATTCTACGCGGATTGCCACTACAAACCTAGCTAACATACAACAAATAGCCAGTCAAATACAGCCTCAAAAGTCACACTGATTTTTGTACAATTCCTAACAGCTCTAGTTTGGAGTTCTCGTCAAAATGTTTAATACATTTCTAATAACCTATGATAATAATGAACCAGTGCGGTCCGCCTGAAATTCAATTCGTCAATATGTGGCCCTTGCCTGCCAAAAGGTTGCCTATCGCTGTATTAGACAAACAAAAAATTGCCCCTCGGTTCTAAAAACATCTCTAAATGAATAAAGAAAAAAAAAACGTTGTTGCAGAGCCTTGGCGCTAAACTGTTATGCTAAATTCAACAACCAAGTGGGAGCCGAATCTGAAGAATGGGAGAAGGGAAAACCGGTCAGAGTAGTGCGTAATTACAATGCAGCCAAACACTCGAAGTATGCCCCCAAGGCTGGCAATCGATACGATGGACTGTACAAAGTGGTGAAATACTACCCGGAGAAGGGCAAGTCAGGATTCATTGTCTGGAGGTACTTGCTGAGAAGAGATGATAAGGAACCTGCTCCATGGGAAGAAGGTGGTAAAGAGTCGGATGTTATCGTAAGTCAAGACAATAAGGAATATGAATAATTTTCAGAGTCATCAAATTTATTATTCTGAATACACAGGATGACCCAGAATATGTGGGCAATCTCTCAGATTCAGATAGAACCTGAAAAAATAATATGACAAGTTCATATGAATTTTTCTCCAACAGGCCCTCCCGACGGAGATATGAGCCCCTAAATGACGCCACTGGAAATCGGTTTTTCTTGAATAACTTTCGAAGTAATGAATAGAAGGATCAGTGTTGGGTCCAATTCTTTATATATTATACATTCAAAATATTGAAAGAATGAATGATAGGAAACTATACCATATATGCAGACAATACAGTGCTTCTATATGAGAATAAAAACCCAGTACCTAGTTCTAGAACATGTCATAAATGAGGACTCGAAAAAAATTGAGAAATGGCTTTATTCCAATCTTCTTTCTCATAATTCTAATAAGACACAATATATAATTTTTCGTCAAAGAAATAAACAAAATATTGATCTTAATATTAGAATAAGAAATTATCGTTTGAAACAAACTGCCCATACCAAATACCTTGGTATTTGGATTGATGAGAAATTAACATGGGAAAAGCATATTGACATCGTCATAGGAAAAGTATCCCATTATTGGTGCTTTAAGAAGATGTCCTAAACTTAGTACATATACATCAAATATTATTCCCTATTTACATATACTCAGTCGAATTAACTATCTCATAAATATTTGGGGATCTTGTTCCAAAAATAGTTACAACAAAATTTCTGTTCTATATGAAAGGGCATCGAAAGTATTGTATCATCTTCAATATGATACTCCAACGAATCAACTGTATAAGGAAACAAACACATTTTCTTTGGAAGAGCACTTTTTAATCAATACTCTCAAAATGTCCTATATCATCAACAAAAAGCTTAAATCAAATTTGATATTAATTAGGAATTCCGAAATTCATGGTCATCACACTAGACAATATAACTTGTTTCATCTTGAAGCTGCAAATTCTAAACTTGGACAAAAAAGTTTACACATGAGACGATTTCGAAATTCAATAAATTACCAGATGATATCAAAAACAGACCAAATATTATGCAATTCAAAAATAAAGTGAAGAAATATATTTATATGCAAAGGACTGATCAAAGCTGAAAGATTATCAATTTCCTTTTTTTTCACTGATTTTATTTTTCCACTTCTTGTTCACTATAATATGACTGTTATCTTGAGATATCTGAATGATATGTGAGTTTTGTTCACTATTTGTAATTTCAATTATACAACAGTCGATAATACTTCATGAATACCAGGAATTACTGTCTGATCATTCATGTCATTTCTACTAGAAAATTAATTATACTTTATATATTATTTGTATATATAAAGATAATGCAATGCAATAACTGAAATAAATAAATGAATAAAAAATAAATAAATAAAATCTAATGAAAATTTGATATGACAAACACTAGTAGAGACCCCTCGAAATAGTCTCATTGAAATATCAGTAGCTTTCTTATTTTATCAGGGGTGGACTAAGTTAAATTTTTTAATCCTCAAATTTTTGACATCCTGTATGATGAAGGCCTCAAAAAATCAAATTCATGTAACTTGAATATTAAACTGAAAAAAATGTACTCTTGTTCATTATGGATGAATTAAACCGTTTTCAAGAAAAATAATAAACAATTTGATGTTATACTGGGTGTTCCTGGAATGTCTATACAAAATGATAACACAGACTACTGAGAGCAAAATATGGTAAATGTACAAAACTTACCTCTTCACGAAAATGTTTAGTTCAGCTGCTACAGGGCGTTGAAATTCAATATATTTTCTTCCATTTATTCCAATATTTCAATATTCCCAAAACATATCACTCTTAAGATTTGTAGGTACACTGAGAGGATTATCATGCATAAGGAACATGTCATACCACATCGATTGAATAAAGGGTGTTTCATATTTTGAGAACTGTTGAAAAATTCATAATTTGTTTTGAATACGCCACTGACCTAGTCTCAATACTGTTTTATAGTCTCTCATCAACTCATGATAGTGAACAACGTGCATGTAGATGAAGTCTATGCAAAGTCAGTTGGAACAACACATCAACTGCGGGCCGTCGGTCCCTTTGAATCTTCAAAGAGAGCGGCAGCGCGGCCCGACATTCCTTTGATGATATGTTTCAACTGACTGCATATACTATACCATCAGCTGTGTCCTCAGCGAATATTTTCATTCTACTACAATTTGAAATATCATCGTGCATGAATTTAATTTAATTTAGGTCTCCCCAGGATTTTAACTAACCTCGTTTATATATTTTATTTAAAGAAAAAACTTCAGTCTATGCCAATCCAGTCGTTAATCGAGAAACCTTGATGGAAAGGATTAACTTTCATTGTTGCGAAATAACATAATTATAATGTTGGGGTATTGTGGAGGGTCCAACAATCTTCAGTTTGTAGAGCTAGAGAATGAACATGAGAACCAACATATACATTTAAAAAAAAAATGCGTATCATTAAACACTCTGAGGACTTGGGTCAAGGAAAATTCCATCCCCAATTCACTTGGGTATAAGGATTCTAAAGTACATATCAATTCTCTAGTAATGTCTTTGCACAAACGAAAAGCTTTAATAAATTGTGCAGCAGACAAACACATGAGTCCCTCGTAGGCAAAAACCTTCTTCTTGGTCTTCTAGCAAGGATTTCAGCCACTTCCAAATTTTGTAAATCCTCTAGATGATCTATTTCATCTATGTTTGCCATGTTTTGCAATACATAAGTTTTTCAGATTTTTCACTAGGGTTCAGCTCCCATCACAAATGAGAATAACTTCGTATTTCATGAGTGAATCCTATGGGAAACATGTTGTTCCCATGGATATCACCATGGGAAGCAGTTCTCTTGGAATGTGTAGGAATAGTTTCCCATACAATAGTTCAAGAATACATCATCTCAAATTCCCATGGGAAATATCAGGTTTTTCCCATGAGAACGAATTCCAACGGATTCGAGAATAGGGCCCCTGAAGAGAGCCAGATTAGCTACGCGAGCGTTTCAACGTAAAGCGGTGTTTTGCCGATGGGATAACCAATGTCGTAGGTCCTGAATTAGTTCGTGATTTACGGTGTATTCGGATGGCATACTCAAAGGTTTCAGTGCATGAAATTCAAATAATAGTAGGATAATAAACGATGAATATTGAAAACAGTTCCGAAAGATAATTTTTTTCATCAAACAATAGTTTAGCTTTTTTTCTCAAATTTTCTGTTACGGCCGACCCTACCGTCCATGACGAGCCGTCACTGCGGCTCAGGTATGTTATTGTGCTGTGGTTTTCATAAAATCGAATCAAATTAAATATTTTATTCAATCAAAAGACCTAATTTAGGTATAGAATTTGTCAAGGTCAAAATACAATACATGTTTGTTTAAAATAATTATGTATAAAATTATAAAATAACTTAAAATGTAAGTACCTACGTAAAAACAACACACAAATTAAAAATGTAGAAAAATGCAGTCACATAAACAGTTCATTGGTATCATAAAATAGATTTGCCATCAGAAAATGTTTAATGGAATTTCGGAACTTGGAGTGTGATGATTGATTCTTTATCTCTTTAGGTAATTGGTTATAGACTCTAATGCCAGTTGAAAGTGGACCACTTGATGATATTTGAAGGTTATTTTGACTTGGATATATCAACTGGTTGTATCTGGTTTGATAGCAATGTATGTCCATATGCCTAGGAAGAGTGTTTCTTATTTTATGAATGTAATATGCCAATTCCATTATATAGAGACATGCTAGGGGTAATATATTCGACTCAGCAAATAGGGGTTTGCAAGAGAGTCTGGATGATACGCTTTTCATGGTTCTCAGTGCTTTTTTCTGTACTAGGAATAATTGCTGTGCCGCTTGAGAATTACCCCATAGTAAAATGCCATAAAGTGGACTGAATTTCTGCAAAGTAAAAATTTCTCAGACAATGAATGTCAACAACCTTCTGCATACATCGAATTTGAAATATTTTTGTATTTATAATTTTGATTTTATTAGATATATGATCTTTCCAACTGAGATCATCCTCCAGGGTTATTCCTAGAAACTTTACTGTTTGTTTCCTATTGATTTCAAAGTCGTCTAATTTAATTGTGATCGTATTGTGAATAATTCTCTGTCTAGTATGAAAGATCAAATATTCCGTTTTTTCGGTGTTGAGGAATAACTGATTCGCCGAAAACCATTCACCAAGTTTATGGAGAAGACGATTGCATGCTATTTCATTCTGTTCACTACACTCTTGTGATACTAGAAAAGATTAGTCATCGGCGTAAAGTGTAATTTTATATTCAGGTATGAATTCAACCAAGTCTGCAATAAACAATGAAAAAAGAATTGGTGCAAGAACAAAATACACAGCGGACGTTATACAATCTTGCTAACTTACACTCATTCATTCATAGTAGTCAAGTACATTTTCCCCATCAAGTCATCATCATAATGGAATTCAAAGTCACTGTTCCATTTTGATATGTATTCAATAATTTCAGTATCCTGATGGATACCTTGAAGCTGAAGAAGCCAAAGAAGCCAAAGAAGCCAGGGAAGCCGAAGAACAAAAGAAAAACAAGGAAAATACTCCCAGCACGTCAGGCACATCGAATCGAGGATCCAAACGGAAGAAACAAGATCTCTCCAAACCCCTTGCAGACTTCTTCAAGAATACTCCGAAGAAGAAGCCCAAATTAGAGCAATATGAGTTACCAGACGATGTGAAAAGTCTGATTGAGAAAGATACTGTGAACGATAAAGATTGGTCTGAATGTAAGGAGACATTGAAAGATGGAAAGAAAGCATTCCTGGATAAAGTAGGAGACATTTTCAAGTGCATTTTCTGCTTGGAAGTTGTTTTTGAACCTGTCACAACAGAGTGTGGGCACAACTTTTGTAAGGTGAGATGTTTGACAATGCATACATTTGTGTTTGTTTGGCTACATTTTTCATAATCAGTGAAAAATTTACATTTTTTCGTATTGCTTACTTTGCTGCAATAGTTCAGCAGCAGGAGTACCAAGTGGAAGGGGCAATGAAAAAAACATTATTCTTTTGACATACCCTTTAGTCGTCCAGAGATCAAAATGACCCATTCAATCCCTAGGGATCAGAGTGTGGACACCAATGAAAGGATCGATGGGTACTAGTTATATTGAATGGAAATATTGATGGGTTATTTGAAATAGTTTTTTCTTAAGTGGTTCCAGAAAAATAGTTAATAGGCGAGTGGACAATTTTTTTTTATTTCTTAAATTTCATATTTTTTGAGAATTTTTTGGTCGATTTCAAGATGCTAAAATCATCAATAATGCCACGGTAATTTTGAAACGGCTAGAAATTTACCACCAGTAAAACTGACTGCACGATTTCGTAAATAGGCGCAGACAGCATAGTTGCCATGTGTTGAAATACAATTGGGAATTTCAGAAATATTAGTTATTCAATAATTCATAAATTCTCAATTGAGTATTGGTCATACTCCTAATTAGCAATGAAAATTCAATTGTCACAAAAGGATCTCTTGTGATTTGTGGCTTTTTCCTTTCAATGAATGTGTGTAAATGATAATTATATTAATTCACACTTGAGGACATTTGAGTCGGTGAACGTGACAACCACGGCGCACGACTTGTGGGCGTGGTCTTGTCAGTTCTCAGCATTCAGCACAATGTTGTCAAGTCTCCAACATTCACATGATATGTTATGGAGAATAAGAAATATTTGGACATGCTGGGTGCTCGAAAAAGTCAAGAATGAACTAAACTACTTACCAGATGAAGTGGGACAGCCAAAAAATTGTCTAATTCTGATAAGCTATAACTCGAACATTTCTTGGCCGATATTGTAATTTCAATCAAAGGTAGAAAGCGTCATCCTCGGGCTATGCATCATTGGCGTCGGGTTTTTATTTTTGCGATTCGTTCTCTTTGTACAGAGTGTGAATTAGGCGTCGGAAAAATTTCAAATGTTTGACCAATAATTTGAGAAATGTGAGGGACCCTAGAATTCTTTTTTAGATGTTGGGTGAATGGTTGGTCCGATACCTCGAGAAGTCTTTGAAATTTTTTTGATAGATTGCGTTGCTATGGAAAAATCGCCATTTTATGAAATTTCATTTTTATTTTAAAATATGGCCTCTTTTAGTTGAACAATAACAGCCAACATCTGAACTGTAACAAGGGATATTTCTACTGAAGATAATTAACATCAGTGCCGCGCAAAAAGGGGTTTATGATATTTAGAAACGAAAAATTCGTTTATATTGAAAAATTTCAACAGTTTAATGGATCCTTACAGTTGAAGAGGTGTTGTTTATAACATAATGGGTTCCTCCTATTATGTTTTATTCAACGACAGGACTCTTAACATCTTCTTGATAACTTGATTATAATTGGTCACTTGACAACCTTGCTTCATGAGTGGAAATGGAAGATTATCTGACCGGCCGTATTGTTTGAAATGAGCTCTGAAATTCAACAATCTCGAACAACGCATAGACTCATTATTTACATAAAAAAAAGCATGAGAAGTGTTGCAAAAATTAATTTAGGTTCCTAACGACACAGTGGAGTTATTGAATGCCAATAATTCATTATCAGTCCACTCGCCCATTCTTCAAATCACTTCCTTGTACATACACTTAAGGGAAAATGTAGTTTGTCCTTTTCTTCTTAGTGAGTTTTCGACATGGAATTACCCATAGTGGAAGGAGAAGATAGTGTGCTCAACAGAAAGCTCAAACTCGTCTTGTTCTGCGCATGACGTCAGCTCCAACTTCCGATATTATATAAGTACTAAAATTGAATGAAATAATTTCGAAATGCCTACTTGTTTCGTTTCTGGTTATGGAAATTCCAACTAACATACAAAAGGCACAGATATTGAATTTTTCAGCTTTTCCAAGAATGGAGACCTAATGAAACGATGGGAGCTTGCTGCCTACAGAATATAAACTCAAATAATGGTACCTACCTTATATTCCTTATATCCTCATTCCAAAGTATTCACTTATCATATTATCATCACATTCATATTACAGCACATATTTCTTCAAAACATTTCCATGCAAAATGTTCCCAAACAAGTGCGGAAGTCCGGAAGTACGGTTCTTGAATTACACACCTCCAAAAAATCACAAATATTTGAAACAAGATGCCATTCCTACAGAACATCTTCCGAATATCAAGTCAGAAATAATTGAAAATGAATTCAAAACTCTTAATTTCTCACGAAATATAAATTGCAGCAAAGATTTGAATAACAAAACGGCAAAAATTGATACTCCTGTTGTCGATGTCGGAGCTCGGAGCAGAAGCAACGTCAACGTCGTTAACTGCTGAATTTTAATCTGTCAGAATCGACACAGTAGTGGATCATTCAGATGGGATTGGCAATGCATGATAATTCGTATGTATTTGCTATTTGCGATTGCGAATTATATCAAGATCACAATTTCCAGAATCAATAAAATAGTAAAATCGAAGGAATAGGAACCTGTTTATATAAATTGAATTATTTCTAAACAGATCGAGATACTTATAGAAATTTCGCTAAACATGATTGAATTCATTGCGCACGCCCATGGCAACGGTATCTGTCTGTGACTAGCAGCTGATATTGGTATCCCAGATGACGTCACATAATATGCGCGTAGGCACACCATCTTCTCTTTCCACTATGGAATTACCCTTGAAATTTGTTGACTTTTATTATTAGTGGTACTCGTTCAATCTGTTTCTCTTCTAATACTTTGAATATTCCTCTGCAGGCTTGTCTAAAGAGGGCATTTACCGCTGACTGCCATCAATGTCCCTGCTGCAGGAAGGACTTGGGCAAGGGTTTGGAAATTAATGAAAAACTGAGCGAAACAATGAAACTGCTTTTTCCGGGCTATGAAGCGACCCGATAATGTGCGAGATAGATTACTATTCTATTTTGTTTTTCATTATCCAGCATAGTAGTTTAAGGGTACAATATTTCCAGTGATTTGAAATTCTTTGGAAATTTTATAGCACTGTTTTAACATTGACAAGTTTTTAAGAATACTTTTGTTTTTTATTTATTTGAAGTAAACTCATTTTTACTGCTGTTCTCATTTCTGTTGAAATTATGAGAACGGTTTTTAGTTTTCCACTTAGTTAGATATTTCGTTGTGTTTTTTGTTCAATATAGTGATTTTTTATCAGAATAGTTTTATTTGTTGAAATATTTCTACTTGTTCCATTCCAGTACTGCTGAATGTTAGTGAAGAATCTTGATTTAAAATCAAAATGTTCTATGTAGGAATGAAGTATGTGCATTTTTGTGGAATTATTTTTCATGCCACAAACCTGAAAAATTGCAGAAAAATATATCTCTGTTGGTGATGAATTCCAAGTGAGAATTAAATTCAATTATTACTTGAACAAAACCTAAAAATAGAGAACGATCTTTGAAGAATTGCATCTACCTTGTGTTTGTGTAAAGTATAATACAGGTAAAACAAAGAGACGTCTCTCAGTAAAAACATACATACAAATCTAAATTGGCTAACCATATGCTTACTGAAAATGGACAACATATGGTATAGTGGAATAACATTGAAATCATAGGAGAAGATAACTGAAGAAGAAAAATCAGAAAATGCACTTGCATTCTTCTGTAGGATGGGCAATTAACATTGCTTCTAGTTGACTTGATATAAACTACTCAATATTCGAAACGTAAAATCCAAATGTTTCCAACAATTTTGACTCTTCATAACTTTCAACTGTCTCAAACTATTTGCAATTCTTCGAAAATTTCAAATTCTTCCCGTTTGAAAGGAAAATTGTTCTTATTGTTGCTGTGGTGCAAAATATATCACACCATTTGTGCCCCCAAAACAGTTTTGCAATTTTTGGAATTGTCACACTTATTACTGAATTAAAAGTTCACTCAAAGGAATTGTCAACATTCCCTACTTTTGTTACTTGTTACATAATATTATTTATAAAATCGAGGAGAGAAGATCCACTGTGTTGCTTTCAAGAGTTTTCAAACTTTTCCGTTCCATATCTTAAAGAAACACATTGATTCGATTGCATGTCCCCTTCAAATGTGTGCGGAAACATTGTTACCAAATTACACAAGACCTATACTGAGTGCGTTCAAGTTCAGAGTTACCTGTCATGTTGGTGAGTATCCTCTGATTATGTAATACCATTAGATATTCATGAATGAACTTTTCATTTACCTATTGAGCAAGAAAATGAAATTGTCCAGAAGCTTGGTATAAAAATGAATAAATTAATTAGTCTATCATCGACTGCTTCCCAGTTATATTCACTCTATAATGGAATTATTTTGTATAATTCATTTACCTTATGAATAGAAACATATTGATGATGAAATAGTAATTTTCCTAACAAGTGCGGAAAGTGATTCTTTCCCGCACGAGACTGCCGTTGACACGAACGACGCGAAGCGGAGTTCGGGCAAGCAGTCGAGTGCGGGAAAGAAACTTTCCGCATGAGTTAGGAACAATATTTTTTCTACAAGCGTAAGAAATTGATTGAATCGTTCAATTAATTATTCAAGCAAATAGGAACAACTAACAAGAGATATATTTATTCTCTATCTATTAATTATTAGTAATAGCTATTGTGAACTTACTGTTTGACGCATTATGTTGGTTCATTGCGGAAGCCAGCAGGCCCATTAGGAGTTTGGTCTCTAGGTTCCAGACACTTCTATGAAATGAGCCAAAAATACCTATTCTTCATTCGGTTTTTTCATTTCTTTATTGTTGCAACATTCAATAAAACGTGTGTATAGCTTCTCATACCTTTCTTTTTTTTTTGTTGTTGTTGTTGTTCTTTATTACCCCAAGAAACATATTTGTTTATAATAGGGATACATAAACATATGATATATATATATATATATAAAACAATAAAAAAAAAAAAAAACTAATTAACAAGTTATGTCAATATAACATAATAATTAAAATAAAACCATTCCAAGTATTCAAATGAGAATAAATTGCTCCGTTTATTGTGTCATGAGTATATATTTTTTCATATTGACTTTGAATCTTGTTTCATCATCAATATGTTTCAAATCATAAGGTAATGAATTATATAAAATGATTCCGTTGTAGAATACTGATTGTTTGCCAATGATGGATGGTTTGCTATTAATGAATTTAACTGTCTCGATCGTTGCATGAGTATGAATTGTATTTACTTCAGTAAAGTTCAAGTTGGATATTTTTATTTTTTCTTAAGTCTTCGTTGGTGATAACGCATCTGTATCAAATCCCTATAGCTAGAAGTTTTTGATCACATTGTGGCATTTCCACTGAATCGAAAATGACAGTAACGCTTTGTCTGTCACGTCGACAATTTCAAACTTATTTGAGGTTTGATTGGCATGACAAATTGACGTTTCCCGTCAGATCAATCCAAATCTATAGGGGGATTTTTATAATAATCAATTTTTATTTCTCAATATTTCTTAATTTTTACAATGGATAGTGCAATTTGATGGATGATTATGAACATACATACTTAATACTGCAACAAACAAACTTAAACTTTTATATTCCATCACCAACCACTTATATTACTAGCGATTTTATCATATCTTTGTTTTCCCGCACTAGTGCGGGAAAAAATTTCCCGCACTAGTGTGGGAAAATTTTCCCGCATTGTTGCGGGAAAATGACACTTCCCAAACTAAATTGCGTGCGGGTATAGGGTGAATCACGCACGCTTGTAGAAAAAAACTTATATGACACTATATAAATGGAGCAACTTATTCTCATTTGAATACTTGGATTGATTTTGTTTTAATTATTATGTTGTATTGCCATAACTTGTTGATCAGTTGTTTTTTTCTTCTTTTCATTGTTATACATACATATCCGGGTGAGGATATCCATTGGATGTCCAATGGATGAAGGTGTGTTATTAGGGTAGTTGTTTCTGATAACAGGGGCCAGGTAGCCGTGCGGACAGAGTGTCGGTATTCTAATTCGCATTGGCTTGCCGGTCGTGGGTGCGATTCCCGCCGACTGCAGAAATTTTTCTGATGGCCCAAGAAAGTGTTTGGGATCACACGTTAAAAGGTAAGGCCCCCGTCATTCCATGCTCGCACAAGACTCTCGAAGACTTCTGAGGGTTGCTCGTAAGGGGGCAACCGAATGACGGATAGAACAATTTTAGAACAATTTTTTTTTAGAAGTGGCAACACTGTATCGATGAAAATATTTTAGACGTATAGAGAATGTTCAATTATCAAAGCATCCCAATTTTCAGAATGTTCTGTCTTTTCGTTCCCCACCGTGGATCACCCTGTATATGATCTGAAAATATCTCATAAAATGTACTACTTGGAACATCCGATTAATATCCCCTCGGATGTCCCTGAAAGAACGTTTGAAATTATATTTCATCAGGAACATGCTATATAAGGACATTCTACAGCTATCTAGGACATTTGAAATAATGTACCAGCTTAGACATTCCAAGGACGTCCTTATTGCTCGGATATTGCATGATATGTACGGGATGGGACGTCCCAAGAGGACAACTATTTTAGGTCTGGAACATTCAGACTTGAATTGTACCAAATAGGGACGTTTCTAGCAGGTTGCGTGCTATTAGGGTATACAGGGCGCATCAAAACGTATTTAGTGAGCCAATAAGGGCCATTATATTCCAATTGGAATGCTATGTATACACGTTCTTCCAAGTATTTCAGACTCCCAACCACTTGTCGATGTGAGTATACCTAGTTCATAAATTGACATTGTTTATATATTTGACATGAAGGAAAAAAAAAGTTTTCCAAGTTGTCTCATCGACTTTTTAATAATAACAGGAAGTTACCATGAAGGGGGTGTGGGACATGTTTCGGGCTTATCATAAGCTCATCATCAGCAGAAAACGTTGGAAAAATTCTACAACATTGTGTTAAAACTTGAATATTATTAAGATGTCAAGATCATGTAGTACTTTGATAAACATTGGCATCAGGACTTATTCAGATAGACATTCTATATAAATGTCCTTCACGCAAGCGAATGATCATTTCTCCTTCCAATGTCCTACAAAATAACGTCCAACAGACGTCCCGGTCGGTTCATCAGATATGTTATTCCTGCGAGGACGTTTATAACTTACACCTTACCGAAGATCGACTGCTCGTAGGCTATAAATCGAGGTACAAATACTCTCAATGTTCTTCACGCAAGTTCATTTGGATATCCTTGGGAACCTTCTTAAAAATCTATTGGGGACCTCTTCTACGGACCATCGACTCGAATATGGATATCCTTATCAGTTTTGCAAGATCTGGTCGTAGGGAGACCCATCAGATAAATTATTCTAATTCAAGAATAATTCGTACGTCCCTAGGACATCCTATGGACATTTCAGACATCCTATGGAAGTTCGAGAGACGGCCTTCAATAGTTCCAGAGGAACGTCTTATGGACGTTCTAGAGGACATTTCTGAGGATGTCCTGTAAATGACCTCGGTACAAAAACACAATGTTTATTAACTTTTTCAGAGGACTTCCAGAGGTACAATGTATATCCTTGAGGGATATCCAGAGATGTGAGTGGGTCATATATGACTGTGTCATGACCGTCGTCATGACTAGCCATGACCGTCAACGTCACATTAAAAATGACCGCATGGGTCATTTAACCTCAAATTTAGACGGCATCAAAACTTGAATTCATTAGGGGATAGCACTGTTAAAAAAAATCACATTTCCTGAGTATGATGTTTGTCATCAACATTGCTATCATACCTCATTCGAAAGAGATGCGCGACTCAAATATAGAGGGATCATGACGAGGACGATGAGCTTCACTGAGAAAAGTAGAAGACTTATTCAGACGCTGATGATGGCGAATTTGGAATGAATGAAGATGAAGA